AAACACTTTTCCATGCTGCCGCTAACCTGATCTTTACTGTCATCCTCATTCTGACTGTAATCTGGAGCAGCCACTGCCTCCAAAAGTCTTTACCTCTCAGACATGTTCCGTATTTTATATTCTCTATTTTTGTGAAAGCTGTCAGCATTTCTGAGTCTTTCAAGCTGTAAACCTCTGAGTTATTAATAACTCCTCCCTCTCCCATATCCCTCTGCATCACGTTAATCCCAAATCAAGTCAATCTATACCTTAAAACTGCCTCTTAAATCTGATTCCTCTTTTCTGTTCACCCCAACCCACTTTATCCCATACAATCTTAGTTCAAGTTCTCTCCTCCTGCTTTGATAATGGCAATTGGTTCCCACTAATTGGTCTTCTGACTTTTCCATCAGCCCTTTATTTTCCTTAATAATGAAATCTTCACTATCTGAGCAACAGATTCAATCATTCCCCAAACCTCAGCATTGCACAATATTACTCTTATAACAAACCAGCGCATGTGCCCCGTTAGTCTAAAATAAAAGCTGAAATAAATCAAAAGAGAAAGAAAAATCACTTCTGATCACATCACTTACTTTATGGCACTGGCCTCCAAATACATAAGGAATAAAGTCCAGATTACTCAAGAGAAGATAGGAGACTTCAAATCTGATGACAACCTACTTTCTCAGAATCCCTTTTCCTAACTCCCCACCCATCAGCAAACATCCTCTATTCTAACTTCCATGGAAGAAAACAGCAAAGAAAATTATAAGAAATCTGAAAAACTAGAGAACTGGTAGGCTTTTTTCCCTGTACCATGTTTACTTCATGCCATTTTAAAATCAAAGCTAAGTTTCTTATATTCTTCTAAAGTACATTCCTCCTGAGAGTCACATTTCTTGTGAATATCCCCACATCACAATTTTTCCAACGTTACAATTTTCTAATTTCATGAGCAATATATGTACCAACCAGAACAGTTACTAAAACAATTTGGCAAAGGGTTTCTCTTCTTGTTTCTAAATGAAGGATGTGGTAAGCTGATTCATTCCATAGAACCAAATCTCCAAGGCTGGGCGCAGTGGCTCACGCCTACAATCCTAAGACTTTGGGAGGCCGAGGCAGGTGGATCACGAGGTCAAGAGATCGAGACCATCCTGGTCAACATGGTGAAACCCCGTCTCTACTAAAAAAAGTACAAAAACTTAGCTGGGCATGGTGGCGCGTGCCTGTAATCCCAGCTACTCGGGAGGCTAAGGCAGGAGAATTGCCTGAACCCAGGAGGCAGAGGTTAGGGTGAGCCGAGATCGCGCCATTGCACTCCAGCCTGGGTAACAAGAGCGAAACTCCGTCTCAAATAAATAAATAAATAAATAACAACACCTCTACTCTCTCCCAGAATGCTGATAACTGTGCCAACACTAAAATGCAGGAGAAAGCCAAGAGAAAAGAAGACATTTAGTCCAAAAACAGAGGATACTGCATAGGAGAGGCAAATGGAATTCACAGGAACGGAATAAAGAAATGTTGCAAAATGACAGTGCACAGCAGGTAAAGAACAACCAGTTTAGATTGTAGCAGCAAGATGACCACAAGAAATATACTACCGAGAAAGATTTAACAGTTCTTTTGAAGAGTATGGAAGGATTTTGGCACATACAAAACTAAGAAAAAAAAAGGCAAGTGATAACTCTAGGAAATAAACATTGTAAGAAAGCTGAAGAAAGTAAATACTACTGTATACTATTTTGCTCAGCAGTGAACAATATTCACAATGAGTACTAGTATTTAATCTAGCATAAGATACTTTAATATATTATGTTTGAAGGATACAATGTGGAGAGGTATGAGAAAAACCAATTTTATCTTCCATAAAAGAAAGTATCTAGTATTGATAAAGAAATAGTGTAAATATTATTTAAGATATGGAGATAAATACTAGAAGAACTAAGAGTTGCCAAGGTGTAGAGAAGAATGGAAAAGGGCAGTGGTTATTTTATCTAATCATAAGTTCACTTTTCATACTGTGCTCCTATTGCTTTGATAACAGAATTTTAAAATTCTAATGCAGAAAAGATTCTAAGAAAAATGACTTGTTCGGGCCCTAGCACAGTTAAAAAACATTTGTCAAAATGTCTGTTTCTCATATCTTGAAGAAATACGAAATTTCTATAAAAATTCTTTTAAAAAAAAAGCATTCTTAAATTCCCAAGTCATGTGTACATCAGGAGAAAACAAAACCAAACAAAACACCGAAACCACTCCTAAAGTATGGTCACCTATAATGGGCACAACCTATATAACCTATGGAATATTATATTTTATCCAGATTTACTTGAATATAAAACTCCTGCCTCTTTTGATTATTTAATTTAAGACTTTAACATCAAACCTGAATAACACATATAACTGGAAAAAAGAACTGAGGTCATTAAAATGAAGGTGTTTCCAAATTGGTATCCTGATAGACAGCTGTCAGTGAATCTAGTTTATATGTGGGTGGCCTCTAATTTTAGAGACTTCACAATATTAGGAATATTGAATTTAAAATTATCTGTGCTCTGAATATCACTGCAGCCCAGGGAAGGGACAACAATATATCCTTTCGTTCCATTCTGTGATGAGAGAAGGAACATCTATTAGGAATACAATAGCTATGGTGCTAGGACAAGGTTAAATATAAGAAAAAAATGGCAAATGTTATTTTCTACTTACTTAATATCCTCCTTAATCCAGTTCATTCAATGACTCATTTCTAAATAGCACTTTGGCACACCAACTCTATGCTCACCTTTGCCACACTGCCTTTCCTTGAACTGCCTTAAAAGTTCACTGATTTCAAGTAACATACATAGATATAATCATCTATGCTCTAAATAAATAGTAGCAGTTACTCTGAAATCCCCCCACACAAAGGGGTGGCTGTTTAATTTACATTTTGTTAGAGCTGGTATAACTGATGTTAACGTGTACTTGGCATATTAATTTAGAATTTGCCCACTATCAAGTTAATCTTGCTTACTTTACTTGAAGTCATTTGTCCGTCTTCATTGTAAGACTTTAAAGGACACAAACATAGCACCTGATAGAAACAGGCACTTAATAAATATGTTTTATATCAATAACTAATCCAATCTCAAACAGTATAGCACTTTCATAGTTATTCAGATGCAAACTTAAGCAAAATTTTTTTAAAAGGAGTCTGTTTTTCCATAAATATGAAATCAAAAAGAAAACACACATTTTAAAAAGAAAGAAATGTGTCAGGGTATTGGTGACATGGGACAAGGAGTTCTAGAAACAAATTACTTTTAGAGCAAAACCACTTTGGCTTAAGTCTCAAGGAATTTTTGACCTTGTCCCAGATTTATAAATACCGTGATCACTGAAGAAGAAAAGAAAGTCAAGAGCAAGTGCAAATGGTAAAAAACAAACAACAACCACAAAAGCCAATGCCAGTGGAAGGAATCCCTTGTGCACTGTCACGACTCTAGAAAGAAATAAGCCCAAAGCAAAATTATGTGCTTCTATAAAATGTTATTTTGAAACCAACTGGAAAAAGAAAAATAGTAAGTCTTTTCATCTTCCCACTAGTTCTTTCCCATCCAATGCTGTCGAATCTTTTTGTAACTTACAGTAAAATGTTACTAGTGAGAATACAGCCTATTAAGGCTTTTGAAGTAAAAAGTATAAATCCCCAAACAGAGTGTTTATTTACAAGTACTTCTGATAGACATTTCAAAATAGCAGCACTAGAGAGAACTATTATTATATAAATATACTACTTGAGCCCTTTGATATTCAAAAATGAGACAAATAGTTTCAAAAACTTAAGCCAAAGTTAGGTAAAATTCAACTTAAATGAGAAACTTTAAAGAAATGCTCCAACCCTAGGCTAGCATAAAATTCCTTAATGCTCTTCTTGCCTGGGTTTCAATTATCTTCCCAAAACACAAACAAAAAATTTATGACAGATTAAAAGTACCTTTGGTTTTGCCAACAGAAATCAAGCCATCAAAATACAACTGCATACTTTGCTTTTTAAAAACAATGACAACAACAATAGAAACTCACCCCTTATAAAGCACATTTCAAAATCTGTCACCTGGTACAGTAAAAAGAAACTACTGGCCGGGCGCCATGGCTCACACCTGTAATCCTAGCACTTTGGAAGGCTGAGGTGGGCAGATCACCTGAGGTCAAGTTCAAGACCAGCCTGGTCAACATAGTAAAATCTCATCTCTACTAAAAATACAAAAATTAGCGAGGGTGGTAGCGTGCACGTGTAGTCCCAGCTACTTGGGAGGAAGCAGGAGAATCTCTTGAACCCAGGAGGCAGAGATTGTGCCACTGAACTCCAGCCTGGGTGAAGAAGGGAGACTCCATTTCAAAAAAAAAAAGAAGATGAAGAAGAAGGAAGAAGAAGGATAAGGAGAAGGAGAAGGAGAAGGAGAAGGAGAAGAGAAGGAGAAGGAGACGGAGAAGGAGAAGGAGAAGGAGAAGGAGAAGGAGAAGGAGGAGAAGGAGAAGGAGAAGGAGAGAAGGAGAGAAGGAGAAGGAGAAGGAGAAGAAGAAAAAGAAGAAGAAAGGAAACTACTGAGGTCCACAGGCCAAAGAGCTGGAGAAGCAAAGTTACCATGCCAAAGGTCACAGAGAGTAGTTATGCTCTTAATCTTGCAACCAGTCAAACATCACTAAAGATGCCTCCATGCAAGAATGACTTTCTACCATCTCTGACTCTTCATATTTTATAGGATACATACCATCACAATTACTTCTATGGGTAAAAGTCTGAAATAGAACAGGCTTCTATTCTCCAAAATGAGCAAAATGGCAGGATTTCAGATAGGAGAAATGCAAGCCCTATCTCTAAAGGTTGTGGGAAGGGAGAAATTTTAATAAAATCTGGAAAAAAAAAAAACCCTCTGTAATTCTATAGTCTGCTTTTCCATCTCAAGACTCTTTAGTCTTAGAGCTGAAAGTCTTCTGATACATTAAATCCTAAACAAAAGTTTTACCTGTTTGGCTTTTGGTTTCTTCTTGCCTGAGGTAGTCTCATTTGTACTTTCATCCATTCCTCTCAAAACACTGATAAAATCTTTCTTGGAAACAGTTGATATCAACTTAGTTCGCTTTCTAATAGAGCTTCCAGCTTCTTTAACCTTCTCATCAACGTTCTTTTGATGTTTCTGAACAGCATTAAATAACTGCACCACACCCCTATAGAATATAAAATGACCAGAATAATGTAGTTAAATAATTACATGAGATACAAACTGAGGAGAGGAAAAGTGTATTTTCACTGTCTAGAAAAGGGGCAAGCATTTATCAAGTACTCAAATGAAAGAGCTGAATAAATGGTTAAATATATCTGATAAATACATCTGAAAACCGAATATACAATGAATGAATATAAGTTTCTGAACAGCTAATAAATGTGGATTGGTATGTAGCTTTGTGCTTGACCCCAGAAAAGATCTTTCTGGATCTCAATTTCATCTGTAAATTGGAAAAATAATACCTGAGTAGCTTAAAAGGTATTCAGCTACATTATCTGCAACTCTTGCGTTATTAAACTATTTTAAAATCCTACTTTATAAAATACTTATTCTAAAAACTATGTTCTGTATTTATTTGAATTCAGTCAAAGATAAATTCTGAAAATTAAGACCTGCAGCATCCAATACAGGAGCCACAAGCCACAAATGGCTAGGGAGCACTTGAAATGTGACTGGCCTGAATTCCCATGTGCTATAAATGAAAATACACACCAGATTTCGAAGACTCAGTATGAAAAGCAGAATCCTTAAATCTCATTAGTAACTGCTTCATACTGATATGATGAATATTTGGAATATAGAGTTAAATAAAATATGGAAATTAATTTCACCTATTTCATCTTACATTTCTCATTGTGTCAACCAGAACATTTTAAGCTACATATTAAATTATGAATGAATATAGTTCACATTCATTGCTCCTGGACAGCACTGATTTAGACTGTTAAGATCCCTTCCAGCTCTAAAATTTTGCAGTCTATGAACTTTCTTTCTCTAATAATTATTGGAAGAGGCAACCTTCCAGTAATTATTGGGCCTTCAGCATCCCTGCATATGCTTGCTGGGTTTTTGAAGAATGAATGCAACTGACCGCTCTTTATCCAGGCCATTTCTCAGGGTTGTTTGTAGAAAGTGACCTTGAGGAATGAAGTAACGTCTCCCCCAGACAAAGAGCAGGCTAGTTACCAATCAGTATAAAAGTGATAGATTCCCAAGCACAGTGTTCCAACTCTTGTAACACAACATACTGCACATGCAGGCATCCATCCGGGACACCAGCATTCCCTCTATGGGACAGGAAACAGTGGGAATGCGAAGCTGTGCTACTGCTTTTGCCATGAGTAATAAAGTCCTTTGTCTTTGACCCAAAGTGTCTTGTCTTCTACCAGTGTCCAGGATAAATTTTCACAGGCTAGCTTATAAACTTACAAGGAGAGTAAAATTCCAGACCCTTCACAGCAGTGACTGGACCAGGGTGAGGCAAGGGAGGTGCCTAGGACATAAAATTTAAGGAGGCATTCACTCTCATGTACTGATCCTGTACTTTTCTAAGTTCTGTATATGTATCCACTTCACTGTCAAAGCAACCCTATAGGCTAGGTATAGTCTACTTATTCACAGATAAACTGAGAGAAAAAGAAATTAAGTAGCACGCCCAGAGACACAGTGCTAGTAAGAGCCAGTGCTAGGATTTGAACCTAGCAGTCTGGCCCTATTACTCATGCCCTTATTCACCACACCACGCTATCACACTGTGTAATACCTAGATGGATTAGAAAATGACCAAAATAACTTAGGTAACAAGAATTTAAAAGTAATTCTGCCAAGTACAACTGCTACATTCTTCAGTAGTAGCAGCCCAAATGTTATCTCCTCTGTAATGCCTTCTCAAACTCTCCCAGACAATCTTCTGTTCTAAGTTCCCAACACATAGGCATAATTCTGTCCTCAAAGAGACTAATTCTACAGATGACCAGGCAAAGACCACCCAGCAGCCACCATATCCTATTTATCTTTGGACGCAGAGGGCAACGAGTAAATGTTTGGTGCCAATGATTAAATAAGCGGAGTAAAAAGATAGCATGAAGTAGCTATAATGTGTAATGTATTATGTCATAAATATAATGCAAGATAAAAATCATCGAGTGCCATAAATTTCGACAGGCATCATAAGTGAAGTGCAGTAAGAGGTCTGATTACACAGTTCTCACCACTATAAAAACAAGATGATCCAAAATAGGTTCATACCAAATATACACACTTAGCACATTAGATTCTGGCCTCACGAGACCTGCAAAATCTTTGGTTTAACTCAGTGTTAAACAGGCAGACTTAGATATTTATCACTTGGCTCTAAGAAGGCTGAGCTTAAGAATTAAATCTGGTCAAAAATAGAATCATAAGAAAGCTTTAGTACACTTATTTTTTAAAGGGCAAAAACAGTCTTACCTCGTTGCAATTCTCTGAAGATTTCTCTCTGTCTCCTTGTCTTGGACAACATCTGGCTTTACTCTGCACATCATTTCCCACTCCATCCTCTTATCACGCTGTGTTATAAATATTGTTATGTGAAAGAATATTAGATATTTCTGAAAGTGCAGCAAACATCGGTATGATACTCTGTGAAAGGGTGAAGGTAATAAATCATTCTGGCTTAGTTTGTCACTGGGACTTTTAAAAAAACACCATTTTAGGGGTTCAGCTTCAAGAGCCTGTGGTTAGCACTCAGCATGTCATACGAGAGGCACAAAGTGAGTTTCTGTCAGGCCTCTGACAGCAGGGCCTGGAGAGCTGCCAGCATATTCAGCCAGGCAGTACAAGATAGGGTATAAGGGAGCCACAGGCCTGCTCTGCCATCGCCAGACCATCCGAGGAAAGCATAAAGAAGGTTCCAAACTACACTCTGGAAATTTTAAGTTCATCTTTACTTTCAGAAAATGACTTCCTCAGTCATCAGAATTATTATTAGGAAATTGTATCACTTTTAAAAGAACAGCATCATATCCACATACTTACACGATGACTATTATTTCTTTGCACAAAATCATTTAAATCCATTTCTCTTCTCATAGCATATCTGACCAATATTCTTGCCATATATGGCATATCAGCTGTAAACTATAGCAAACTGTACAGAAGCAGAAGGGGAGGTGGGAAATAAGAAAATCCCATAGATAACATAATTTAGCTTGAACTTGTCTTTAAGTAGCATCCTGGTCCCAGGAATCTGATTTGATACATTGCTTGTTCATGTCTCCTTCTCAGGCCAACATTTAACCAAATATCAAATATAATGATATAATGAATTCATCACCAAGAAGCTGGCAAACATCAAAAGCATCAAAGCCAGTAATAAAGACATTTTTATTAAAATTTCTTTTTATCTATTTATTTTCTCTACTAATCTATTTCTCATTTATTAATGAAAATGTCTAATCACAGTAAAACCAAATTCTTGCTCTCACTATAAAGATTAGCCTAATAGCTTTCTAAAGAAATACAATTGTCCTCAAGCCAGACAATTCATTTTAGTGGTCATGAAATTCACTGTCAGATTATGACAGAAATTTTTTTTTACATCTTACTTTTAAGTTTGAAACAGTCAATTTTAAATGATATTCAATACTCAAAGGATAATAGGTATGCTTAATCCTGAAACACTTTTAACTCTGGAATTTATTTTTGCATTTATGATTAGAAAGAAGTAGCTGATATACTAGAACACTTAATGGTTAACATTAGGAAATGATAATTTACATACACTCTTCTAAGAAACATACACAAAGAGCATTGTAGCTGCTGTGTCTTGTTTCTGATATACATGCACGTTCACACATTATGGAGCCAGGATCATCTCTAGCACTCAAAGCTTTGGCCTAGAGCAGAGTTACAGACTCATTCCTCTTGGCTTCAAAGTGTTCTTACCCTCACTAGAACTCTGGGACCAGAGGAAATCAAAGATTCTGATATTGTTGAAGCCTCTTCTAGCATTTGCCAGATTATAAACAAAGATTCAAATTTTCAGTTGAAAAGCTATCTGTAAGATTCAAAGACAAAACGTTTCTTAAATAAAACACAATGAGAATACTGAATTAATAATGGAGTATGCTGTGTTTCTAAGAGCAATGCTTAAAAATTTCCATCTTTCACACAGAGCAACCAGTATTAAGAAGAAAACATTCATCTTGAAACAAGATAAGGAGATGGTAAACATAATAGGAAATACATGCCAATTCAAACCTATTTTTCTTTCACTTTTACCTATGAAATAACTTTGGGAATCAGTACTTTTATACCACCAGTACATTTGTAGAAAATTATTTTTCTTTCATTAAAAAATAATGAGTGTATTAGTAACCAAGTATTTTAGACAGAGATCATCAAGTACAGTGATATGAAAACCTTATTTTTAGTTCTTATACAAATTTATGTCCAACTTTTGGCCTTTAATTAATAGATTATACCTAGTCTAATGTCTATCACCAGTAGTTCAACAAAAGCATAATTAACTCAAATTTATCCAAAACTGATTTGTATCTAACATTGAAATAATCAGTTTTCAGAACTGCAACCAATCCTTGAGTTGTGACATCTTCACAGATTTCTATTATAAAATAAGTTTTGGCAAAAAGTAACTAACATGCTTCTTAGTTCAAAACCTAATAAAGTCAGCATACAGACAGCTAAAGCAAATAAAATAGGCTCAGGAACCACTGCCAAGTGTCTAATTCTTGATTTTAAAAACTGGCTGGGTACAGTGGCTCACACCTGTAATCCCAGCACTTTGGGAGGTCGAGGAGGGTAGATCACCTGAGGTTAGGAGTTCGAGACCAGCTTGGCCAGCACGGTAAAATCCCACCTCTATTAAAAAAAAAAAAAAAAAAATCAAAAAATCATAATAAAATAAAAATAAAAACAGGTTTTCTCAGCGTTACATTTTCATTACTTTGCCTTTGCCTAGATGATTAAAACGTGAACATGCTCAATGGAGTAATTTAGACTAAATTCCTAAACATAACCTTAGTTATCCACCTTCACATAAAAAGCAAGTTAAAAACTGGAATGTTAGTTAAACAAACACTGCAAGGAAGAGTTCAGTCAAGACAACAACTAGGCTAGACAAACAAATCTAATCTACAAGACAACTGGTGGAACACACCTGTTTTATTTTCTCTTGTCTTTCTTGCTTTAACTTTTCTTTTTCCTTTTCCAGCTTCTTATTTTTGACCAGAATAGTAGGTTTACTTTCAGGAGTTTTCTTGTTGAGAACTTTAGCCATGGCATCTGCCCAGCCCATATTGGTCCCAGGATTTGATTCTGCGTCATCTTCATTTTCTTCGTCATGGGGCTCAGCATCACTCTCATTGTCAGCTTCTATTGCTTCCTCATCAGAATAAAAGTCGTCATATTCTGGTCCACTGCTTCCTGTTATAGATCCTCCTACTATAGAACCTAAGAGTGAAAGCAAATTAAACTTTAATATCCTAGGCAAAGGTTGCCAAGACCCCTGGAACCCTTCCTGGAGCTCCGTCCATCCCCATTTTTGCAAGGGGCGACTTTTCTGAGTCACACAGCTACAGTAATGATGAAAAGCAATAGGACCATCTATCCCATTGTTATTAGCTCCTAGAGACCTAGCCCAACCACAGACAGGGGATGTCACAGCGGCTTCAAAACCCAGGACCCAGCCAGGCGTGGTGGCTCACACCTGTAATCCCAACACTTTGGGAGGCCAAGGCGGGTAGATCACGAGGTGAGGAGACCAAGACCATCCTGGTCAACATGGCGAAACTCCACCTCTAGTGAAAATACAAAAATTAGCTGGGTGTGGTGGCGCGTGCCTATAACCCCAACTACTCGGGAGGCTGAGGCAGGAAATTGCTTGAACTCAGGAGGCAGAGGTTACAGTGAGTTGGGACTGTGCCACTGCACTCCAGCCTAGTCAGGGCAAAACAAACAAACAAACAAAAAACCCCAGGACCCAGGCAGCAGAAACAAATTCAATAGCCTCTGCCACGTCCCTATTGTCAAAGTGGTGACAGGTGGTGACATGGAGTCAGTGCAAGGTGTGTTCAAGTACATGAACCTTAACTGCATCACTAAACTAATGGAAGAGGCTAATGAAGACTATTAAACTAACAGAAGACTTTAATAAGAAAATGGTACAGCATTACCAGAATAAATCTTCTAAGGAATTTATCCCAGATATTTAAAATTCTGAATTTGTGTGCAGAATAAAGGGCCTAAAACTAAAAATTAGCCTCATGTGTAAGAATTTGCATATAACATTAGAAAATTGGGCATTTTGGCCGGGCACGGTGGCTCAGGCTTGTAATCCCAGCACTTTGGGAGGGCAAGAGGGGTGGATCACGAGGTCAACAGATCGAGACCATCCTGGTCAACATGGCGAAACCCCGTCTCTACTAAAAATACAACAAAAATTAGCTGGGCATGGTGGCGCGTGCCTGGAATCCCAGCTACCCAGGAGGCTGACGCAGGAGAATTGCCTGAACCCAGGAGGCGGAGGTTGCAGTGAGCCGAGATCGCACCATTGCACTCCAGCCTGGGTAACAACAGTGAAACTCCTTCAAAAAGAAAAAAAAAAGAAAAAAGAAAATTGGGCATTTTAACATTTTTGAAAAAAAATTATCTAACGATGTGCCCAAGATACTAGATTCAACTATAGTGCTGAGTGACTGAACGAAAATATCAAGTTCTGAGTTGAAGACACAAATGTCTAAGTGTACCTTTGACTTTTTCATACAGAACCACCAAAAAAAAAGCACCGATAGGTTACCAGCAAACTATCATCATTTAAAATTCAAATGGATGAGAAGGATAAGCAGAAACAATAAATAGTCCAGAAAGTGGCTTGGCTTTCAAATCAACCTGCTGAGCAGCTCTGGGGAATTTAAACTTTTCACACTTTCAACTTCTTTTTTTTTTGAGACGGAGTTTCACTCTTGTTACCCAGGCTGGAGTGCAATGGTGCGATCTCGGCTCACCGCAACCTCTGCCTCCTGGGTTCAGGCAATTCTCCTGCCTCAGCCTCCTGAGTAGCTGGGATTACAGGCATGCACCACCATGCCTAGCTAATTTTTTGTATCTTTAGTAGAGATGGGGTTTCACCATGTTGACCAGGATGGTCTCGATCTCTTGACCTCGTGATCCACCCACCTCGCCTCCCAAAGTGCTGGGATTACAGGCGTGAGCCACCGCACCCAGCTTCAATTTCTTAAATTAAGTGCACTTTAACGACGAGAGCACAAGCACCCAGCATAGCATGCATGCATCTCTATGATCCAGAGCTTCTGGAAAGCTTCTGTTCTTCAGAAACCTACAGAACTTATTAGGAAATACTTGAAGAAGACAATCTTAGTAACTTTGAGTGTTTTTTAATTAGCAGAAGAAGAGGTATCAAAAAAGGCTGAGAAGTCAACAAAGAAGAAAACTCAGTAATATACAAACAGCTGCCATTTAGCAGTGATGACTTTGGATAAACAATTGTGCTTTCTTTGGATGACTCCAGAAATAGTTAAATCTCAAAAGATTCTTATGGAAAATGCCATCACCTGAAACTTTTCCTATCAAAGTACCTCTACAAAACAATATTAGTAGTTTAAGTATTTTTTAATATTAAGATAAAATATTATTTAAAGAAACACTAGAAGAAAAAGGCCAAGGCATAAGCAGGTTTCCTGCTGTTCCTTACTTTACTCAATTCTGTTCCTCCCACCCAAATCAGAACCTTCACTTAAATGCAGAGGATTACAAAGAACTCCATATGCTAAAGCACTGCAGCATTTCAGTGAGGCTGCTCTGGGTCCATTTGCCCTTATCAAAGCCAAGCATCAGAACCGTTAACTGCGGCTTCTACCGTCTATTGATTGGGTCTTATTATTGCTTCAAAATTATCTATTTTTCAACTCTGAGGCTCAGTTTCTTCTTTAAATAATTTCAAGAAAATGTTCGTAATTTGCCTTTAACATCCTCTCAGCCTTTTGTATCAGCTATTGCTATGAGCAAGTAAATGGAAGTGACTCCACAGTCAGCTATTACCTTCAGAGTGATCTCCTCTACTCTCTTGACTTTAACCCATAAAAAGACCTGACTTTTAGCACTGATTATAATACTTGCAATTTGGGCATTATTTTTACATAATGTTTATTTTTTCAGTGCTGAAAATTCATAAAACAAAAATGACGAAAACCATTAAAATATTTCAAGTAAAAATTTGTAACAAATTAGAAAGTAGCAAGTAAAAACATGCTTATCTAAAAATGAACCTCAAGCATGAGTAAAAACAAAGTATCTTCAAAAATTTAACTGAGGCCGGGCGCGGTGGCTCACGCCTGTATTCCCAGCACTTTGGGATGCCGAGGCGGGTGGATCACGAGGTCAAGAGATCGAGACCATCCTGGTCAACATGGTGAAACCCCGTCTCTACTAAAAACACACACAAAAAAATTAGCTGGGCATGGTGGCGCATGCCTGTAATCCCAGCTACTCGGGAGGCTGAGGCAGGAGAATTGCCTGAACCCAGGAGGCGGAGGTTGCGGTGAGCCGAGATCGCGCCATTGCACTCCAGCCTGGGTAACAAGAGCAAAAACTGTCTCAAAAAAAAATGTAACTGAACATTACATAAAAAAGAAAATAACATTTCACATTTTTAAAAGCATAAAACAAAGTGCCAACAGTATAAAAGAAAATGTTAAAAACAAGAAATCACTTGCAATTCTATCATGCTAATAGAGCTGCATATTTCTTAATAAAGAGAAAAAAATTAATGAAAATATTTAATTTGAAGCTTTTTCTGTATCTTGGGCCAACTGAAGAAGCCTGAGCACATTTGAGACTCTAGGCTTTAACACACAAATATAGTTGATATAAAGAAAGAACTTTATTACATTGCTCATAACACTAAAAACAAAAGGTATCTAAATTAAAAGGTAGTAGCACTTAACCAATTCAATAAAAGACTGAATTTTTTGTTCCAGGGCCACAAAACTTTTCCCCAAGAAGCATCTCCAAAGGACCAGTGTGCCCTGCAAAGTACACTGGAAATCAAGGTATGGAGAATATAGTTAGCTGAAAAATATATTATTTTAATACTACATATGTTTTACTCTTCCCAGTCCGTAGCGTTACACAGACACTAATACAAGATAAACGATCCTTAGAAAAAGTGCTTCCCATAATAAGTAAGTGTAAAGAGGCCAGATGGCTTAAAAGTTTGGGTCAATAAAACCTATCTTGGTGATTATAAGCAGAAAGATCTTGACAAGCTTCTGGTAGCATGTCAGAACTGCAACACTGACATCTAGTGTTTCATCCTGATGTATTCACACACAAATTGCCCCAGATTTCATGTTTTTTAATGGTACTATAAAGGCAACCAAAGCAAGCCAAAACACTTTCTGATTGTGTAACCCATTCCAATTTTCCACTTCAAAACCATGGCTGTTTTTCTTTGGTGCTTTTCTTACCTAGCTTGACTACAACATGTGTAATATGAATACAAAATCAAACACATGAAAAGTTTATAGCACCATTTAATACAACGTGCACTCACCCCACCAATTAAAAAAAAATCCAGAATTCCCTTAAGTCATGGTTTTTATTTTATTTTTATTTATTTATTTTGTTTGAGACGGAGTTTCGCTCTGTTGCCCAGGCTGGAGTGCAGTGGCCTGATCTTGACTCACTGCAACCTCTGCTCCCAGTTTCAAGTAATCCTCCTACCCCAGCCTCCCCAGTAACTGAGACTACAGGTGCATGGCACCACACCCAGCTAATTTTTGTATTTTTTAATAGAGACGGGATTTCCCCATATTGGTCAGGCTGGTCTCAAACTCCTAACCTAGTGATCTGCCCGCCTTGGCCTCCCAACGTGCTGAGATTACAGGCAAGAGCCACCCCGCCCAGGCTATTTTATTATTTTCTTAAAGAATCTCTATCTCAGAGGTTTTTTATCAGGCATTCACTGCCAATGCAAATGATGACATTAAAAATGTGTATAAACAAATTAAAAACTGCAAAGTAATTCAGTCTCCCAGCATACTAAAAAAAAACCAGGATTTACTTCTAGGATACCAAAGATTATCACTATGCAAATCAGAAAATAGAACTGGCTCAAAATATTATTATATCCTAATTAAATGAGATTTTAAAAAATTTTCCACTCACTGATCTATAACAGCAGAAGCAGATATATCCAGGTGTCTAAGGGCATAGAAATCACTAAATGAAAAATGCCTTTGAAGTCCTGTGTGTTGCCTTAAACATTAATTTTGCATACTATAAAAATCTGGAAATTAAAGGTCTACAAAGGATGCTTACTTACGTAATGACTAAAAGTTCCAACCATGGCAGTATTCTCTATCAAAGCTGCTCAGCAGCCACAGCCACAAGAGGCTACTGAGCACTTCAAATGCGGCCAGCACAACTAACTG